CCAGCCACTCCTCGGAAGGAAGGTTGGGCAATCCTACTTCCGTAGTGATACTGCCTCGGAAACCCAAGGAGGGGTCGCTATGAGTTGGGGCCAACTCGACGGCACACAACAACAACAACAATATACTATTCTGGGAGTTCTGGGAGCTTAGTGCCTAAGGCACTTGACTGCTAACCAGAAGGCTGGTGGTTCATACCCACCAGAAGGAAGATGGGCAATCTACTTCTGTAGTGATACTGCCTCAGAAACCCAAGGAGGGGTCGCTATGAGTCAGGTCCGACTCGACGGCACATAACAACAACATATACTATTCTATTGCATTTATAAAGAACTCAGAAAAACATTCTCCTAATGTTGTCTTTGAAGGTTGCTTCCAGTGTTTTTATATTGTATAGCTAATGTGGCAAACATACCTTGCCTGACAAGTGCCACAGATCTATTTCTCAATAGAAATACTGGGCTTAATTCTCAAAGATAATCTTGCACAGTAAAAGTTAAAGTTGGAATAAGAAGATTTTTACTCCAACAGAATTTTGAAAGACAAAAAAACACATGTACATACAAAGAAACTAGAATTCTACTATGCCAAATCAACTACATTTGGCAAGCAATTTGAGAAAGTCCTCTAACTATTTTGAGATGTTTTTGTCCAAAGTAAACTATGTGTTGTAGGAATGCTTCACCTATATTTAGAAAGATACTTCTGGGTACAAACAGTAAAATTCTGAGGTAACAGACAAAGAACACTTGATAATTATGTATAAATAGAAGTTCAACACTTTTGGAAGGGGCCACATACTTAACCCCCACTTCCTTGGCTGCAGGGCATTAGCTCAGACCCTTGAGATGCTTACAAATAAATATAAGCAACTTTGGGCTGCTTAAGATGACCTGATTCCCCTTCCCCTCCACTTACAGATTCTAAAATAATAACCTACCTGAATATATACAAGCACTTAAGCCTCAGATAGAGTGAATTTGTGGAAAAAGTCAACTGTATTTTAGTAACACATAGTGTACATACTTATTCATTAGCAAATTTTTGTTGAACATCTACTAATGTATTTCTGCAGTATTGGTTCTTCATTGATTATCAAAACCACTGACCCAGTTTCCTTTGTTAGTTGGTTAGTTGGTTGGTTTGGAGGAGAAAGAAAGAAAAAACAGCCAATTATGTTATAATTTAATTGTGGTTCAACCATGATTGTTAACAATTACCTATAATAAGACAGTTAATATATAATATATAATCTATAAAAGGTAATTTCATTGTAGGGCAAAGGGGTCTTTCGAGGCCAAAAGATACGTTCAAACATGTAATTTTTATTTTTTTAAATGTCATTTAATTTTTATCTTTTCTGTCAATTTTTTCATGAAGCCCAATGTGCATTCTTTACAGGCTTTTTACTACACACACAACACACAATCAGAACTCAACCGACATATATACATACATATGTGTATGTATACACACACACACACAATAAACCGTTAAAAACAGTTAAAGTATTTAAAGCAGGAATTCTATAGGTGCTTACAATCTGGAATCTTTCGGTCCATTCACCTCACCATGGCCCAGAAATCCCATTCATAGAGACTGCATTAACATTACACACAATACAAAAGCGCATGCCATGACAAAGACTTCCAAACACAAAACATACAAAGCGCAATTCTAAAAATGCCCGTAACGCGAAGTTCACAGCTGGCACTTGTGGCACCCTCCAGCCACTGCTGTGGCAGCTGTCATAAACCAATCACACACACCCAAGAGTGCCAGCGTGCCACCTAAAGAAGCCAAGCTGATGATGATCAGCGCAGAAATCCCCGCCGGATAAAGAAAATCCCCACCCAGAAAAACACAATGCCTGCACTCCCAGAAAACATGCTAAAAGAGGGAAAAGTTGCAGATTTAGAGGCAATAAATACTAACAGCAATATACGAAAAGAAGGTTTTCAATTGGGCATTCACGAGAAAGAACCATACGATCCAGTCACCACGGAAGTATAATTTGCTGGGTGGTACCAAGGGGTTTTTCCCTCAGTTGGAAAAAGAAGAAAGGGTGCCTAGGGGAAAATTAAGACCCTGCAGCACCTTTCTCCCAGGCAGCAAGCGCACTGAGGCTGCAGCGATCTCCGCTTCCCAGGCCCCCTCCCACCCTTTTCCAGTCGCCGCCTCCCACCGCAGCCCGGCTGCGCCTGGCTTTCCTACCTTCGCTTTGCCGGCCTCCAGCTTCTTCTGTCTCTCTTCGTCCTCCATGGCCTCTGCAGGGAAGGGTGGGGAAAGACAGGGAGAGGGTCGAGAGTAGAAAGGAAAAGTGGATTTAGACGGAGGTGGGACGGCAAGCTCCGGGACCCAAGGAACAGGGCCGGCCCGGCGCTCCTCCCTCCGTAGTGGAACAAGTCTCCGCGCTCACTAGCTGATCGTCCTCGATCGCACAGGCAACGCCGTCACCGCCGCCGCCATCTTCGTCTCCACGTAAACACACGGCCAAGCGGGTGGAGGGGGGGGCACGTCAGTCCGCGCAGCCGCCGCGAGCACTGCCGCGCCGGGCAGGTGTGCCTACGGCCCCGCCCCCACGCACCACTGTGCTAACCCTCTCGGGGCGAGCCCACTCGCTTACGCGCGAGGAGCAGACGAGGGACGGCTTCCCTGTAGCCCTGGACTTTCCTTGCCCTGACTGGGGAGCAACAGCTCCCAGGTAGCGGCCGGGTTAGGGAATGGAAGGGGCTAGGAGTCCAACAGGGGTGCCTGGCCCGACCCCCACTTGCAGTCGTACGGATTCATTGTCACTTTTAAAACATTGAGGGTTTGTTTTTTGTTTTTTTGTTTTTTTTCCAATTTGAAAAATTGTAGATGGTGGCGCACTGCTTAAAGTTCTAGGCTGCTAACCTAAAGGTAGGCGGTTCGAACCCACCAGCCAGTATGCCGCAGAAAGATGAGGCAGTCTGCTTCTGTAAAGATTTGCAGGCTTCGAAACCGTGTGAGGCAGTTGTACTCTGTCCTATAAACCAAAACTGCCATGGAGGAGATTCCGACTCATGGCGACCATACATGACGGAGTAGAATTGCCCCATAGGATTGCCAAGGCTGTAAATCTTTTTGGTCCCGCAAAGCGGCTTATAGGTTCCAACGCTGACCTTTTAGTTAGCAGCCCGGTGCTTTAACCACTACATTACCAGAGCTTCTTCCGTGCCCTAGCAGGTTGCTATGAGTCGAAATCCACTTGACTGAGGTGGATTTTTTTAATGGTGAAATTGAAGAACGTTGTAAAGCACTAAAGGAAAATGTGGTTGTAGCGGTGATGATGAGGAACTCACAGGACTTCTGGTTTTCAACCTATTTTGACTCCTCTGTTCAAGGAGCTGGGAGAGCAGCTAGTTCCTCTGGTTACTTCCTTTGCCTGAAAGTCCCTCCCTCTTCCCCACACTCTATAGGGGCCCTAGTCCTTCAAGATGCACCCCACGTGCTTCTTCCAAATCATTGATCTCTTTATTCCCTCCACTGAAACTGGGCCATATCCAGTCCTAACTTACTCCCTTCCCACCCTCTCCTTGGAGCTTCCCTTTAGCAATGGTGTTCTGAGAGGAGAATGAGCTTCAGAACATGGGAGGAGAATAAAGCCAGTCTTCACTGTCTATCCTTAATGACCTTGAATAAGTTTCCTGCCTATCTGAGCTCCAGTGTGCTTACCTGAAATTTTTCAGGTTTGTTAGGATCAAAGGAATTAATGTATGTTCCTGCCTGGTACAGGAGCTCTGGTGGTGTAGTGCCTAAGGCATTTGGCTGCTAACCAGAAGGCTGGTGGTTCAAACTCACCAGCCACTCCCTGGGAAGAAGACTAACCCAAGGAGGAGTTGCTATGAGTCTGGACTGACTGGACGGCAGTGAGTTTGGTTTTTGGGTTTGCCCTGGCACTTTAACCCACTGCCATCGAGTCGGATCCAACTCATAGCGACCCCTCCTTGGGTTTCCAAGGTATTATCACTACAGAAGTAGGTTTCCCAACCTTTCTTCTGCCTGGCACATTAAAACATAATTAATGTCAGTCTTCTTTTCTTGTATTTCTTTTTAATACTGAGTGATATTTTAATAATTTGTATATGTTCTAGTTCAACTCATTTTCTTGATTTCTTGATAGCAGAGACTGTCTTGCATTACCAAAATGACTTAGTATAGTGCTTTGCAACCAATAAACACTTGTTGAATTGGATTAAGCCCTGTTGAGCTCTGGTGGCGTAGTGCCTAAGACATTTGACTGTTAACCAGAAGGCTAGTGGTTCAAACCCACCAGCCACTCCTCAGAAGGAAGGTGGGGCAAGGAGGGGTCACTATGAGTGACCCAAGGAGGGGTCACTATGAGTCTAAATCGACTCCCCAGCAGTGAATTTGGTTTTTTTGGTTTATAAATTGAGCATTACTCTCCTTCCTTCTTTTTGCCTCAATTGTTCCCTTAATATTTCCTTTTTTCTCTTCCTTTCCTACCCTCAAATCCATTTCAGGGGTCAACCATAAATTTTAATGTTCGCAGAAGCAGATCTCCATTCCTTTTCTTCTGTGGTGTCGCTGGATTAATTCAAACCACCAACATTTAGGTTAGCAGTTGAGTGCAAACCATTTGCACGACCCAATCCATTGCCATCCAGTCTATTCCAATTCATAGCCACCCTATGAATTGCTCAAGTATGGCAGGGATCGTGGAGCTGGCACGGGATTGGGCGGTGTTTCCTTCTGCTGTGCATGGGGTCGCTATGAGTCAGAAACGACTCGCCAGCACCTAACAACAACAACTACTATAGGATAGAGTAAAGCTGCCCTATAGGGTTTCCCTGGCTGTGAATCTTTACAAAGCAGACTGCTACATCTTTCTCCCATGGAGTGGCTGGTGGGTTCCAACCACCAACCTTTGGGTTCGCCAACTGGCTCTTAACCACTGCACCACCAGGCTCCTTGCAACTACCTTAGCCTCTCCTGGATAGAGAGGGAGAACAATGTGGAACAAAACTCGGAATCATTTGGAGAAAAAAAAAAGGGGAGGGGACCAAATTTGCTGGTCCAATAGAGCCTGGTGGAGCCACTGAGACTATGGTCCCTAGTTGCCCTTCAGGTCTGGAATTGAACCCACACCTGTGGCTTCCAGCCAAACAAAAGACAGGCATATGAGTTAAACATTTACCTGAGGTAGATACACTCCTTGAAGAGAACAATCATGGGAGAAATAAGGGCTGCTTATGCACAGGGAGACAGCTCAGGGGGCAGGAGCGCATGGAGGAATGGACATAGGGAAGAGGTAACTATCAGGAGGAAGTGGGAGGGGAGCTGTTGCATTGTTGTAAATTGTGGTCAATGTCATGAGACAAAGTGTATGGGAACTGCTGTATGGAAAGTGAATTTGCTCTGTAAATTTTCACCCAAATCACAATTAAAAAAAAAAAAAAACTACCTTAGCCTCCATTGCACCACCTAAGGACATTGAAATATCTCATTAATACTTTCACATTGATTACATGTTGAAATGATCATGTTTTGGGTGTATTAGATTAAATAAAATATATATTATTTTTTCCCCATTTCCTTTTACTTTTAAAAAAATATGGTTAATAACTAGAAGATTTTAAATTTCATATGGCTTGCATTTGTGGCTCACATTTTTCTGTTGGACGGTGCTGCTCTACTGGACAGTTTAAATAGAGAAGTGATACAATGCCTGAGTCTTAGAGCACTTGCACTCTAAGAAGGAGGAGAAATAAGAGGAACAGTGGCTAGCTACATAAAAATAAAACCAGCTACATAAAAGGAAAAATCTCATTTTTGAAAAGTATTTATTGTGAAGCCAAAATACCAGGATTTCGCTAATTACTTCCTTCAAGTTTTCCAAGTTTTTGATTAATAGCATTGAGGATCCAGGCACATGATCTACACTAATAACATTGTTATCTGATCGTAACCCAGGCCACAATTATTCAGGGAAAATTTTCATTTATGATATTTCTTCTAAGCCGGATAGAGTAATTTTCTACTCATTTGTTTCACCATTTTGTCCATCTTCATGACTCTGCTTCCCTTAGAAGACATTGCCAGCTACTATGGAACATTTCCCACCATCACTTGCCATGGAATCTACGCAAAACTATGCTCCAGATCTTCCCTTCAAGGAGCACCACTTCCAATCTTTGTTTTAGTTAATGACCTTCCTCCAGCCTCCTAAACTCGAGAGCTTGGCGTCGTCTTTGATTCCACTCTACCTCACCCTTCTGTCAGGCACTCTGTCCTGTTGGGCTTTCTTTTCCAGAGACTCTTGATTACTCCCCAGCTTTTCCTTTCCCAATGCTACCGTGGTAGACTAGACTCATATTTAGAAAAATTCAAAAGACTTCAAGCTGGTATGTCTCCTTCATTCCTCCCCATTGCAACACAGTCCTCCATGACTGTCAGAGTAGCTTTCTAAGACACAACTTTGACTAAGTCATTGCATTGTAAAGTGACTTCTACTGCCACTAAGATAAACTGAATTCTTAAATCTATCCATCAAGGAACTCAATAATATGGCCCAGTTTAATTTTGTAGCCCTAACTTCTCCTCCTTATTTATTTCCCATTCTAGTCAAAGGGGCACACACTGGGCTCCCCATTCATTGCTTGCTTGATCACATTTTGCACAATCCCACAATGTCACAGTCTCCACAAGGCAAATATTTATGAGACATGCAATTGAACTTATTTTGTAAATGTGACTGGTCTCCTTTGTAGTTGAGTTTAAGATGAAAGAAAAAGATTAAATGTTAAAACCAAAAATAATGATATTTGCTTATTGATAAAGGAGATCTGGTGTTGCAACAGTTAAGCTGTTGGCTGCTAAAGGTTGGTGATTCAAACCCACCCAGCAGCAACATAGGAGAAAGTCCTGGTGATCTGCTCTGGTAACAACTGAATCTCTTGCCATTGTGTTGATTCCCATTCATGGCAACCCTATAGGACAGAATAGAACTGCCCCGTAGGATTTTCAAGGCTATAAATCTGTACAGTAGCAGATTACCACATCTTTCTGCTATGGAGCAATTGGTGAGTTTCAAACCACAGACCTTCTGGTTAGCAGCCAAGCACTGAACCACTGTGCTACCAGTGCTCCTCCAGTAAAAATATTATGGCTTAGGAAACCATATGGGGCAGTTTGCTATGTCACTTGGGGTCACCATGAGTCAAAATCAATAGCACCTAACAACAATAGCAATATGGGTAAATGATAGATAAAAGAGAATA